AATACCAAGAATGTTCACCATAGGAGGTAATATACTTTAAAAAGAGTTCATACATACAATAAATTATTTAAATTTTTAAATTATGTTCCACAAAAATATAAAGCCTAGCTGTATAATAAAGTATTAATTTATATATCATGTGTTAGATTAATGTAACAGCACTTATATATTAATAGAAACATCTAATAAATACCATTAGGTTTTAAGGATAATCTGTCAGACCTAAATAAGTACACAACTTCCTAAGAGTCATTAGCATTTTTAAAAAAGATTTATTGAAAGGCAGAGTTAGAGAAAGGGGGAGGAGAGGAAGGGAAGGAGGAAGAGGGGGGAGGGAGGGAGGGAGAGGGAGAGAGAAAGGTCTTCCAGTAGCTGGTTTACTCTCCAAATGGCCACAATGGCCAGGTCTGGGCCAGGCTGAAGCCAGGAGGTTCTTCTGGGTTTCCCACGTGGGTGCAGGGGCCCAGGCACTTGGGTCATCTTCAGCTGTTTCCCATGTGCATAAGCAGGGAGCTGGATCAGAAGTAGAGCAGCTGGGACTTGAACTGGCATCCATATGGATGCAGGTAGTGGCTTTACCCACTATTATCAGATAACACCAGCCACCATCAATATCATTTTTGCATCTTGTGAGCATGATCTGGTTAACTTTCAGTTCATATTCTATTATTTTTTCATCATTGAAAACAAACACAAATTTTACTTTAAAATAGAAATTTATTGAATACCAAAGGGAATACAATACATAAAAATTTTTTTCTTGTCAGTACTGGCACACAATAGTTTAAAATATTGCTAAGTTAACACTTCAAATATTTAAAAATTTTAAATCATTTTCCATAAAAAAATAAAGCCTAGTAGTGTTACAAAAGTATTAATTTACACTAAGTTATGTATCAAAGTGTAAAAATACAACAGAAGGTATAAAACAGGCAAAAATGATCTAATTCACTTTGACTTAGCCTATTGTAAAATGCTGCAGGCTAACTAGATAACCTCTTCGATATTAAAAATATCTGTTTTCCAAAGGAATACAAAACTTGTTTACAGTACTTTTCATGCCTAATCAAAGAGCCACATAGTGACACTAAATATTCTACCTTTGTTCAGTTGACCCTGAATTGTCAATAATGAAAGACTAGTCTAAAAATTTAGTTTTAAAAATGTCCCCCTCAATGAACCTTTTCATATACAAAGGGTACCCTAAAAATGAAGACACTAAACAAGGAAACTTACATTAATGGACTTCACTACAATATGGTTTATATATTACTCTGTCAATGACTTTTCTTCACTCTGAAAATTTGGTAATGTAGCATAAGTTCTACAGTAGAGAATCAAATTCAAAAGATTGAGTAATTTGATTCAGATCTTTTGAATTTAGAGTATCTTTCTTCTAGAATGCATACAATGGTCTATAGTCAGTACTTTTATTTTATTTGCATTATCCTCATACAGCCCTCTTTGAAACTGTTCTCTGAAGTAAACAGGGTGGTGACATTTTTTTTAAGTTATAGAACTGGCCAGCTGGCATTATCTTGAATAACTTCAATATTTTTCCTTGTTAATAAAATGAGAAATTTCAAATCAGTAGCTTCCACTCATCTGAAATAAATTCCTTTGTTTTTTGAAATTTCATTGGCTGAGACCTGCCTGGAATTTTAGAGACCAAGCTTAAATAAAGTAATTCAAATATCTCTAAGTCAAATGTAAAAGTAACTTCATGCTTGTCCAGAATTTGAAGGAGTAAATAAAACTGGAAAGCTCATTTGCATTTATTATAAGTACACTGTTTCACCAAAATCTATGAACAATTAAAGTACACTAATGCCAATGGAAGATAGGTTGAATTTTTCCTCCTTCAAAAGATAAATAAATTACAGACTTTACTAATAAAGAACTGCTAAACAAAAAACCTTCAATCTAGAAGAAAATATAATACGGAAGTATTAATATATCAAAGTCTTCACAGCCTCTTATTTATTTTTGCTGAACTAAATTGAGGCAAAAATTATCTGCATAATAATTTGATAGTTACTGTTTGATAAGCCACAAAAATGTTCCTAGGTAATTTTTAAGTAATGGTTTCTTTTCCCAGTAAGTATCAATACCACATTGTTTCAAAGACATGTTTAGGAGAAACAGAAACAAAAACAGAAGCAGCTTCTCTTCCCTTTAAAAGTTACTGGTGGCAGGGGTAGGCGTTAGGCCTTATGCTAAGATGCCTCCAACACATATTAGAATGCCTCTGTTTGAGTCCTGCCTCTGGCTCCTGATTCCAGCTTCCTGCTAACGTAGACTCTGGGAGGCAGTGGTGGTGGCTCAAATAGTTGGGTTCCTGCCACCCATGTAGGAGACTCGGGTTGAGTTCCCAGCTCCTGGCTTTGGTCTAACACAGCCCTGGCCATTATGGACATTTAGGGGAGTAAAAGCCGAATTTTTACCTACCCTATCTTTTGTTTATCTTGATTCCCACAATAAACTATTTCTGTGCTTTATTTTAATTTCTCTAACTATTTTCAGATAGGATGCTAGAAGGAGGGTTAAGGATAATATAAAGTTGACATTGAGGATGGAAAAATTTAAAAAGTTTTCACAGTTCCTTATTTCTATTTGTTTAAAAAGATTTATTTTATTTGAAAGGCAGAGCTACAGAGAGAGAAAGAGGAAGAAACAGAGTGCGATCTCCCATCCACTGGTTCACTCCCCAGATGGCCACAACGGCCAGAGCTGGCTCAGGCCAAAGCCAGGAGCTTTTTCCAAGTCTCCCATGTGGTTGGCACAGGCCTAAGAACTTGGGCCATCTTCCACTGCTTTCCCAGGCCATTAGCAGGGAGCTGGATCGGAAGTGGAGCAGCTGAGACTCAAACAGGTGCCTAGATGGGATACTATTGTTGCACGCGATGGCTTTACCCGTTATGCCACAATGCTAGCCCCTATTTCTATTTTTCTTTTTTTTTTAAGATTTTTTATTTACTTGAAAGGCAGTTAGAGAGGGAGAGAAGGGGAGAGAGAATGAGAGAGGGAGGTAGGGAGAGAGGTAGGGAGAGAGGGAGGGAGAAAGAGAGAGGGAAAAGGAGAGGGACAGGGAGGGAGGGGGAGGGGGAGAGGGAGAGGGGGGTGGAGGGAGATCTTCCATTCACTTGTTCACTCCCCAAATGGCTGGGCCAGGCTGAAGTCAGAAGCCAGGAGCTCCAACTGTGTCTCCCATGTGGGTCCAGGGGCCAAGGACTTGGACCATCTTTCACTGCTTTCCCAGGTGCATTAGCAGGGAGCCTGGATTGGAAGCGCAGCAGCTGGGACTTGGGGGATGCTGGCATTGCAGGCAGTGGCTTAAGCCACTGAACCACAATGCCACCCCCTTCTCATTTCTATTCAATCAATAAAATTTTAACAGCACACAAAAACAAGCTTTTAACTTCCTGATAAATAATGGTTGTATAAAGCAGAGTTTGTATCAAACAATTCAGATTTTAGATTTCTAGATGCATTAGTAAACGTTATTCTGGAGAAAAACCTATATAAAGAAATTAAAATACTAATTATTTAATGAAACAAAATTATTTTTAGAAAATATTTTATTTCAATGTGGTAAAAAATGGAATTTAGGGGCTGATACTGTGGCATAGCAGGTAAATAAATAATCTTTTTAAAAATGAGAAATTTCAATGTTGAGGCTTTTGAATATCATAAAGCTAAGATAACAGTGCAGGCAAGTTTACTAAAAAAGCTGTATTTTGGCAGACATTTTATTGATACCATAAATAGAAATAGAGTTGGAGTTTTTCAACGGCACTTAACCTGTTCTTTTCTCTATCAGAGTCTGCCAAATAAGTTAGATTACTTGGAAAAAATTCAAGTGATACAGAAGAGGCAGAATTAACTCTTGCTATTCAGGCAGGTCATTTGTTATAAATGAAAGGTACCAAAATCATATGAAAGAGGGGCAGTGGTCAATGCCACTTATCTGCTTGTAATTTACTCAACAGAAGCTAACAATTAAACAAAATAACCTAATATTAAATTTAGTTCAAACATCAAAGTCTTACCCATTTTAAGAGGCACTAGTTTTATCTTTTAATAAGTTGAATTGGCTTTAGAATCAAAGACTAGGTCTGTTCACATTGTTTTAGCAAAGAATGAGAAACAATCTTTCCAAGTTGGAAGGTACCAGAGTGACAAATTGGTCTAAATCTATTCCCAGTGTCTTGAGCTGAAATATATTACTCAAACTCTTACTTGTAATTAAAAAGAAATGAACACACAATCTCTTGCCTTTTATCTTCAATTCTTTCCTCCATATTCAACCAAAGTTAACAGTGGTTAGCCATGGAGGAAGGAGCGGAAATCAGGAAACTAAAAAGGGGAGGGGTGGGGGAAGGTCAGGGATGTCACACTCAAACAACAAGCCATATATATTAATCTATAATTTGATAAGAAAAATAATTTTTAAAAAACATCAAACCTTAGCATTAATGGAACCAAATTTCAAATATCAGCAATTCCAAAGTGAAACTTCATGTTAGTACAGAAATCCAAGCTACACCTTAAGAAAACAGCAGACCACTAAGAACCCTATTTCCATTTCTGTGTCCTTTTCCTGACTGGTGCTATTTATTATGTTTCTCTACATCCGGAAAGGTCCTCAGATATAGTATGTAGACAGTCTGAAGTAATTTAGGTTCTTAAATTCAAAAAGAGTGGGGGTTTTAAAAAATAATTTATACTACAAAAATATTCACTTATATTTATTTCCAAATTATATATTTCTAACCTCTGTGGAGAAAGCAAATTTTTACCATTGAACTGCCCTTTTCCATGATATTAACTATTTATTTCTATAGACAGATAAATACGCACAATTCCTTAACAATAAAATCTGTTCAGAAACCCATTCTGACAGAATCTATCATTAAGAGTTGAAAGACACAGACTCCATTAAGAAAAGTATAAGGGTGGGTCAAAGCATGTTTTTAGAAAAATATACTGTATATAATACATCTTGGAAATGACACAGGCCATATGTTTTTATTTAGTGTGAAGGCACAACTTTAACATAATCAAAAGTAATGCATTTTAACTATTTATAATTGTCAGTACCAGCTCATAAAAATATATATTTGCAAGCATATTACTGAAGATTCTTTCAGAATGTTAATTCAAAAGTCAATCTAAAAAGTCAAACTCTATTTGTAGAAAATCAGTGACACATTATTATTGCAGGTCCATATAATATCATTGAGGGACAATCTGTTCACCAGTAATCACAGGATTTTCTTCATTTGTTGAATAGTCCAGTTGATTCATCATCTAGGCATAAATAAAAGATGTTAGGAAATGCAAACTTTCAACTTGCACCTGATATTCACTAATTTAGCAAAAAGACTCCTAGCTTTTAGGAAAGACACAGAATGCACTATAGAACAGAGTATTCCTTTTGGAACATTGCTGTGTTTCAACATCTGTGCCTATAAGGAAATGGTCAGGGTGACACTGAACCTTTCAGGAAGTCTAGTCATGTAATTCAGAACTAAGTTGATAGTTGTTTACTCTAGATCTTCCACTGTCTGCTTTTTCCAATGTGAATACTGCTTTTCATGGCAGTGGGAATTCCATACAAAGGAGACATTCCTTTTTTTTTTCTTTTTTTGACAGGCAGAGTGGACAGTGAGAGAGACAGAGAGAAAGGTCTTCCTTTTTCTGTTGGTTCACTCCACAATGGCTGCTGCAGCCGGCGCACTGTGCTGATCTGAAGCCAGGAGCCAGGTGCTTCCTCCTGGTCTCCCATGCGGGTGCAAGGCCCAAGGACTTGGGCCATCCTCCACTGCACCCCCGGGCCTTAGCAGAGAGCTGGACTGGAAGAGGAGCAACCGGGACAGAATCTGGCGCCCCGACCGGGACTAGAACCCGGTGTGCCGGTACTGCAGGCAGAGGATTAGCCTAGTGAGCCGCGGCACCAGCCAGGAGACATTCCTAACACTATTTTCTTTAAAGATTTATTTCTATTTATTTGAAAGAGTTAGAGAGGTAGACACACACACACACACACACACACACACACACAGGTCTTCCATCCACTGGTTCACTCCCCAAATAGCTGAGCTGGAGCTCAGCCTATCTGAAGCCAGGAGCCAGGAGCTTCTTCAGGATCTCTTATATGGGTGCAGGGGCCCAAGGACTTGGACCATCTTCTACTGCTTTTCCAGGCCATTAGCAGAGATACGGATCGGAAGTAGAACAGCTGGGATTTGAACCAGTGACAATATGGGATGCTGGCGCTCCAGGCCACAGCTTTAACCTGCTGCACCACAGAGCTGGCCCCCCTAAGACTTATTTCAGGACACTATTCTAGGCAGTATTCACTCATATTAATAGCAAAAATAAAAATGGGCCCAGGAGTTACTGTAAGAATACCTGCTAGCCCTGGGGCAGTGTAACCTTATGGACACCATAACTATCTTTTTTTTTTTTTTTTTTTTTTTTTTGGACAGGCAGAGTGGACAGTGAAAGAGACAGAGAGAAAGGTCTTCCTTTTTGCCATTGGTTCACCCTCCAATGGCTGCCGCAGCCGGCGCGCTGTGGCCGGGGCACCGCGCTGATCTGAAGCCAGGAGCCAGGTGCTTCTCCTGGTCTCCCATGGGGTGCAGGGCCCAAGGACTTGGGCCATCCTCCACTGCACTCCCGGGCCATAGCAGAGAGCTGGCCTGGAAGAGGGACAACCGGGACAGAATCCGGCGCCTCGACTGGGACTAGAACCCAGTGTGCCGGTGCTGCAAGGTGGAGAATTAGCCTATTGAGCCACGGCGCTGGCCACCATAACTATCCTTAAGGTAATTTAAGGGGCTGCTGTTGTGGTTCAGTGGGTTAACTCACCATCTACAATGCCCACATACAAACACTAGTTCAAGTTCTGGCTGCTCTACTTCCAATCCAGCCTTCTGTTAATGCACCTGGCAAAGCAGAAGATGGCACAAGTACGAGGACTTCTGCCATCCACATGGGAGACCTGGAACAAACTTCTGGCTTCAGATCAGTGCAGCTCTGGCCACCGAGGCCATTTGGGGATTGAACCAACAGATGGAAGACCTCTCTCTCTCTCTCTCTCTCTGCCTCTGCCTCATTGTAACTCTGCCTTTCAAGTAAATAAAACAAAGTTCTAGACAAAAGAGACAGAAAAAAGGAATGATATATGAAATCATATAAAGCATACAAAAATTTCTATTAAAAAACTTGAAGGCACTTACTTAAAGGTCAAATGATAACTGTAAACAAAATCAAAATAATAATTTTTTATTTGAAAGGCAAAAACAACAGAGGGAGGAGAAAGGAGAGGGTGGGAGAGAGGAAGAAGAGAGAGAGGAGAGGGGGAGAGAGAGAGGAAGGGGGAGGGGGGACAGAGGGAGAGAGAGAGAGAAAATATCTTTCATCTGTTAATTCACTCCCCAAATACCCACAACAGCTGGGCTGGGTCTGGCCTGGCCAAGCCAATGCCAGGAGCTAGGAGCCAGGAACTCCAGCCTGATCTCTTATGTGGGTAGGAGGGACCCAAATATTTGAGCCATTATCTGCTGCCTTCCAGGGTGTACATTAGCAGGAAGCTGGATGGGAAGCAGAAAGGGTACTCAATCCCAGCAACTCAGATATGGGATACAGGCATCTCAAGCAATAGCTTAACCTGCTGTTCCATAATACTCACCCGTAGACTATTTTAGAAGAATCACCATTTAAACTTTTCTCAAATAGTCACTTCAGACCTGCCTTTATATTACCATAATGATCTTTTTACATTTAGGAATGAAGAAAAAAAAAAACTGCTTAAATGCTTTCAATGTTTTTACCTTGTTTTTTAAATAATATTACTTAAACATGGAAAAAGCACTTAATGCCCTTGTGAATACTGTCAAAAACTTTTAGACTAGTGATTAATTTCAGTATTGTGGTACACCCTTCCCCCCTCCTTTATCAAGAGTAAGAAAGACCAGCAAGATAAATATTCCTTAAAGCTTTAGTGTTCACTGGAAGAGAGAAGAATCACTTCGAAGTGAGATGTTGCACTTGCCAGTAAAGAATGCCTGAGCTGAAACTTTCGGCTGATAACTGCCTCAACCATCAGAGGCAGCTTACAGCACTCAGAAATGGCAATGCCCCACAGCCATCTCAAGTCCCCAATTTTTTTTAAAGATTTGTTTACTGGTGCAGGCGCTGTGGTGAAGTGGGTAAAGCCGCCGTCCGCAATGCCGGCATCCCAAATGTGCGCCAGTTAGAGACTCAGCTCCTCCTTCTCTTCCAGCTATCTGCTATGGCCTGGGAAAGCAGTAGAAGATGGCCCAAGTCCTTGGGCCCCTGCACCCGCATAAAAGACCTGGAAGAAGCTCCTGGCTCCTGGCTTAGGATGGGCGCAGTTCCAGCCATTGCAACTAAGTGGGGAGTGAACCAGTGGATGGAAGATTTCTCTCTGCCTCTCCTCTCTGTGTATAACTCTTTCAAATAAATAAATAAATCTTTAAAAATAAAATAAAAAAAAGATTTGCTTATTTATTTGGAAGGCAGTTACAGAGGCAGAGGCAGAAAGATCTTCCATCAGCTGGTTCACTCCCTAAACAGCTGCAATGGCCAGAGCCAGGAGCTTCCTCTGGGTCTCCCAGATGGGTGCAGGGGCCCAAAGACTTGGGCCATCTTCTACTGCTTTTCCAGGTCATAGCAGAGAGCTGGTTTGGAAGTGGAGCAGCCTGAACTCAAACCAGCAACCAAACGGGATGCAGACACTGCAGGCAGTGGCTTTACCTGCTATGCCACAGCACCAGTCCCTCTCCCCAATCAATCTTGAGGTCCTTTATCTGCCAAAGATATCCCTTAATCCAGGTAGTTACATGCTCAGAGCACTACTAGAGGAAAGAAAAAAAAGCCAATTTAAAACAGGTAATGGGGGCTGGGGCTGTGTCATTGCAAATAAAGCTGCCGCCTGCAATGCTGGCATCCTATGTGGGCACCAGTTTGAGTCTTGGCTGCTCCACTTCCGATCCAGCTTCCTGCTAATGTGCTTGGGAAAGCAGCAGAAGATGGCCCAGGTATTTGGGAACCTGCAGCCTCATGGGTGACCTGGAAAAAGCTCCTGGCTCCTGACTTCAGATCAGCCCAGCTCTGGTTGTCATGGCCATCTGGGGAGTAGACCAGTGGGTGGAGGATCTTTTTTTTTTTTTAACATTTACTTTATTTAAAAGGAAGACTGACAAAGAGGATTAAGGGATGGGGGCAGGGAAAGAGAGAGAGAAAAAAAGAGAATCTTCCATCCACTGGTTCATTCCCCAAATGGCCTCAGCAGCTAGGGTTGGGCCACGCTGAAGCCAGAAGCCTGGAACTCCATCAAGGGATCCCATGTGAGTGGCAAGGACCTAAGTACTTGGGCCTTCATCTTCTGCCTTCCCAGGCACACTAATTGGAAACCAGATCAGAAACTTACAGTCACATATGGGATAACAGGATCACAACTGCTGGCTTTCACTGACTGCAGCACATTTTTCTTTCATATGCCTTATTTAACTGTTCAGTTCCTTTTACCAGTACTGTCTGTGTAGGTTTGTGACTGGTGCCCTTCATTTCAGCCTAAAAGACTTATTTCTTGCAGGGCAGGTCTGCTACTGAATCTCTCATTTCTGTGGAATTCTGCAAGGTACAGCTTTTTTTTTTTTTTTTTTTTTTTTTGACAGGCAGAGTGGACAGTGAGAGAGTGAGAGTGAGAGAGAGAGAGAGAGAGAGAGAGAAAGGCATTCCTTTTGCCGTTGGTTCACCCTCCAATAGCCGCCGCGGCCGGCGCACCACGCTGATCCGAAGCCAGGAGCCAGGTACTTATCCTGGTCTCCCATGGGGTGCAGGGCCCAAGCGCTTGGGCCATCCTCCACTGCACTCCCTGGCCACAGCAGAGAGCTGGCCTGGAAGAGGGGCAACCGGGACAGAATCCGGCGTCCCGACTGGGACTAGAACCCGGTGTGCCGGCGCCGCAAGGCGGAGGATTAGCCTAGTGAGCCGCGGCGCCGGCCAAGGTACAGAATTCCTCCTTGTTCATCGCGGTGAGGGTCCACTAACATGTGATGGACTGCACTTCTCTTGCTGTTTCCAAGTTTCTCTGTTCTGTAGGTCTCTGAGTTCATCCTGCTTTACTGAGCTGCTTGGATGTACAGCTAAAATGGTTTTTAACAGCTTATGGCAGTTACTTCTTCAAATACACTTTGTGCCCCTCTCTCCTGGAAATTCTACTCTGCAAGTTAGTATACTTGACGGTATCCCACAGGTCTTGAGGCTCTGCTCATTTC